GGGGGGGGGGGGGGGAGCTGTTGCGAGATTTGCTTGGTATTATATGAAATGAATTGCGAAAGCCGAGTTTGCCTCGGGAAAGGGCTTTGGTCTAACCAGGAGTATACGCCAAAGTAGAATTCATTTGATGCTTAGCTGGAAACTCGATTGATTGATTGATTCTAGACGATGATATGAACGCAAAAGACAATGGAAAGTTTTAAGAGCTAGCAATAGAACTTCTCAATTGAACGTTATAATATGTAATATATTTGAGAGGTGTAAAATTACAATGAACGTAAAAAGTATACGTTGAAGAAGCTCGTCTTGGGCAAATCCGATAACATCCTACCTATGTTTCAAAAGTACGCGAAAAAAGAAAGAGCCGCTTTTCTCTTTACTTTCCCTTAAGAACGTTGAGCCCGCGACAAGGAAGCAAAAAAGTGGCGTGGACGACGAATTGCTGCTGCTGCTGCCGCACTCGAGAAAAAAACCGCGTGCGCACTAAACGTTGGCGCAACTACTCTGTGTCTTTAGCCAAAAGTGTGTATGCCAGCGAGAAAGAGAACTGACAGAGAGAAAGAAAAAAAAGTAAAGACGAAGGCGAAGAAGAAGAAGACTACTACCTCGAGAGAGCGAAATGTAATCTCCTTTTCTCTCAACGAAACGCATAGTATAGATAAGGGTGAGTTTAAGAACGAAAGAGAAGAAGAAGCGAATTATGCAAGAATGCACGACGGGCTCTTGTTTGAAGCCGCTGCCGTTGCTGCTGCTGCTGCTGTAAACTCTCGACATGAGCTTGCACCCAGGTGTTCTTTGTTCAAAAGAAATATTATCTTCGGGTATTAATTACGTGTAAGGTTGAGCAACGTATATAAATTAGTGCAGATACATGATCATATTTGACAGAGTATTGGTTAATTCTGTTGTAACAATTTTTTTAACTTTATCGTAAAATAGTATTATTTAAAAGAAGAAGAAAAAAAGTGAAACTCTCCAGCCCAGCAGATATTTCAATTTGATATTGAGGTGGCTCATATTGCAGTGATATATTCTTTTATTAATAAAATTTCACGTTTGACAATGCGCGGGCAATTTCCTGCAGAAAAAGCTCTCTATGAAAAGGTTTTTTTTTCAAACTAGGAACTTTACGAGCTAGTATCTCTATACTTTAACAAAAAAAAAACGTATGCGCGCGTGAATCCAAGGAAAGACTTTTTGTTTGAATTTTCGTTCTCTCACTCTCTTTCTTTTATCAAGAGGCTGCAGGTTTGCTCGTAAAAATTAACTTGATATCGTTGGGATCTGTCTGTGCGTTGCCCCTTATACGCGTTCGTGTCATTTCCTCCCATCCCTCACGCGCATTTTTTTGCTCCCGCTCTTTTGCTCAACGCCTTTTAACAAATTAATTAATCCTTTTAAATCTCGGCGTCGTTCCTTTCTCTCTCTCGTTCACTATTTTTTCTCGTCAAGGGTAGATCTTTGACTTTCGCTCGTAGAAGTGCAGGATTTTTCATTCACTAAGAACACGTGCAATCCAAATTGAAAAATGAAGTGTATATTGAACCTGTATGGCTTTGGGGAAAAGTAATGAAAAGTCTGAAAAACTAAAATTTTGTAAAAAAATTCGAATCAATAATTTCATTTCATTTTAGAGCATTATTTACATCGTCATTAAAATTCACTAGACTCTGCGTATTTAAAGGGATGCGTCTTGAGATATTTGAATGGAAAAAAATGAATATCATAAAAGGATAAGCTGCACAATAGCTATAGAAAAAAGAGCAAGAAAGATGAAGATGACGATAGATTTTTTTTTCGTCGCGTCCGTAAGAAATTTAATATCATACCTGCATGAAACTCGAGCAATGTCAGGGTATACAATCCGATTTCTTTAACCAGTTGAGAAAAGGGGAGCGCTCTTACCTAATGAAAGAGAGAGAGAAAGGAAAAGTGTCGGTTATTATTATATCCGTGTTATTGTATGTGCACATTTTAAATGGTACCAATAGACGATTAAAAAAGTTTTAGTTGACTTTTTTAAGAACTCACCGTTATAATTGTCAGTATTACAGGATTTAATGATATGTATTTGTGCGACGAAGTTAGTAAGTGAATTTTGTGATGAAAATTGGCTAAAATGATTTCCCTAATGAATTCTCAAAGTACTAATCCGTCAAACGATTTTTCTCAGTCAAAAAAATTCGTATAATCAAGTAATAAGCACGTATACGAAGCGAACTACTTGCAAATTAAATTTATACATTTCACAAAATTCCGTCAAAATCAAATAAAATTCTTTGCTCCGACAAAGCTACAAAAATAGCAAGCTCTTGCGCGCGTATACATATATAGCATTGTTCGTGAGTCAAAGTAGCTTTTCCAACTGCTAGTAGTCCTCGGAAACAAAAGACGAAACGCCTAATTGAATTCTAACGCATACCCAGGTAATGGTAGCGTACAACTGGCAAAATTTTCTCTCTCTCTCTCTCTCTCTCTCTCTCTCTTACTGAGCCACCAGTGTTCTGTATAAAGCGATTGTTCTCCTTTTCGGATGAGAAAGACGAGTGCGTTAACATATAATACTCGTGTATACTTTCATGAGGCATTTGTGGGGGGCGGAGTGGGGAAGGGGAGAGAGTTTGGAAAATACTGTTAGTACGGATTTGCCGCTGTCGTGTTGCTTTCGCGCGCGGATTTTAAACTTGTCCGATGCTATTAAATATACATCGCTGAGCTGCGCTGCTGTTGCTGATGCAGCTACCCACATAATGAATGTAACTGGCTTGAAAATCTTGAATGCTTGCAACTTACGCGAGCTTAAAAGCTAGCACGCAGTGTGCGCCTATTCTAATTTTTTTTCCTTACGTATCATTTGGTTTTTTGCTCTTCCAAACAATTAAATAGTGTCTGGAATATGTAGCTTAAAGTCAACTAGCGCAACCCAAGTTTTAGAATATCAAGAGACAGAGGCACGGATACGGCCTTAAGACGGTAACTTTTGCACACAATGCGTGCGCGCATAAGCGCATGTTTGTTCGTCTATAAGAAGGCACATCTCATTGCATTTTCTAATGTAAATTGAATAAAGCCACCTTTGAGTTGAGTTGTTCGTACATAGTTTAGAGTCGAATAATCCTGGCATTTTCTCTCGTACGTATCTACGAATGCCGCAGTTTTGGATACGTTGGCTCTTCCTCCTTAGCGCGACTTTCCATCATTTACATTTTGAATTGTATGAATGCACGATTTACGAAATATATATCATAATCTAACTTTCTCAGATTTATATGTTTTTAAAACTATTGAAATCCATTTAAGGGAGAGTGAGAGAGGTTATTCACCTCATAAATTAAACGTTGCTTCAGGTGAATTTTACAAATATTCGGCTTTCTCAAACATCCTCGCTGCGAGCAGATATTTACATTAACATTCGTCTAGTTTGTATAAGTACGTATGTACACTTACCCACACACATACACAGACACGCAGTCCAATGCCGGGACTTTTGTGCGCATTAATTTTCATACTTCGTTTCTCGGCGCGCGTTAGGCGAAATTCGCTCTGCAGCCTGCTGCACGCTCCTCCGTCTTTGCTGAAATATTTCACTCATAAGGTCAAACACGCATACACGAAAGCAGATGTGCGTAGCGAGAGAGAGATTTGGAAAGCGAGATTGGCGAAGAAACATCACGAAAACTCTGCGGAGTCGAGCTTTGGTGCTGCCTGCTGCTTGCAAAAGCTTGATTTATTTAATTAAGACTGAAAGAGAATAAAGCATAAGGTACACACCGTGGATTGCGAGAGCAAATGTAGGTAGAAGCTCCTTAGTGTGCAAGCATTGACATTGTGCACTTTGCGCTCGTATGTTTCAGTTGCTTTCTCTTTCTCTGTCTCGCTCTCTGTCTCTCTCTCTCTCTCTCTTTCTCTCTGTCTCTTGAATTGATTAGGCGTGTGGAACAAAAAAAGTCGATGGGATGGGAGGGTAATTACGGTTTTTTTGCTGCAGAGATGGTTAATTCTCGAGGCGTTTCGATGATCACGTATAAATGCAATATTATGTGCACGAGTTTGCGTGTTGCCTAATCCGGTCCCTTAAGCACTTGCCGCACTAATGCACATGTCGCGCGCAACCTAGAGGTTATTATACCCTGCAGTCCACTCGACTAGATAGCAGCAGCTTGAATGCGTGTATATGTGTGTAGCGTTTTCTTCGCGTCACATAATACGTGCATGTGCGCGCTTGTGTGTGGGTATGCGTGTGTGCGTGTGTGTTTGTCCTCCATACGTTAAGCTCAAAATATGACTCTTGCGGAGGAAAGGTTTAAAAAAAGGTTAGAAAAAGTCTCTCATAGCTCTCGAGAGCTATCATTCTAACCCCAAAGTCGTATATAACTGGTCGTAATATCGCCGGAGCCATTATTCAATGGCATTTGCAAACACACGAACAAAGACAATGACTGAAATCCAAAGCGAATTTTATTAGCCGAGCTTTCTCTCTCTCTCCTCTCTATCTTTCTCTCGGCTCTCTCTCTCTCACTCCGTGCATAGCTTCGTACAGGAACAAATATACTGTATAACTTATTCGCATTCCCAATGGTAAGTTATAGTTAATGAGGGTGAGTGAGCCAAGTTATCGCATAGTTTAACGAATTTAAACGTGAATTTATACGCGGCCACTTTGTACACACCCACTTACACCCCATCCTGCTGCGTCACTCAGGGAGAGAAGATGAAAACGCTTTTGTATGAGTAGATAGACCCGCGAAGCGTACGCAACAATGTTTTAATTTTTGATTGAATACAACTCCATGGATAACCCAATATTGTTCGAATATCCATGCAGTTCTCCGATCCATAATAGCCGATCCGTCTCTATTAATTAACGGGCCATCGTTATATAAGAAAAGTTTGATACACGTTGTGCAAAAACTTTTTGCTCTTTCATCGTTTCTTTTCTCCTCTCCGATACGTGTTATATATATCGTAAATAGTAGCGTGGATGCTGCGAAAACAATAGCAACTTTCTTCCGCAGATATCTCTATATACCTCTACGTATACAGCCTGCAACGCAACCTGCCCGAGCTTTTGTGTTTACAGTAGCAACCGAAGTAAGCACGAAATGCTGCTCGCGTGTATTGCAAATTCGAGAGATGCTGAACCAAGCAGGGTTTCTCTCTCGCGCTATTCTCTCTCTTTCTCTCTCTTGTTCTTGTTCGTGTTGTTGTTGCTCTGTTTCTGATTTTTCTTCAAGGTAAACTTGTCCGGGCTTGCTTTATACGCGCTTTTGCTTTATAACATATAAAATCCCCCCATTGCCGTTCGAACTGTTATTTGTTGTTTTTACGTATTATTAAAAGAAAATAATAATCATTACGCCCAGTTGGGCAAACGAAAGCAATCGAAGGATGTTTATTTCTTTATAACGAGAAATACATATTTTAAATGGAAGTTTATTCAAGTTATGCGTGTTTTATCGTTCATGCGCGACTAGGGCTAAGACTGGGAAAGAAAAAAATTTTAATAAAATTTTACCACATAGACTGTGTGGCATGCGCAGTGCAGCGAGCCGAGACACACTAGTTTTATCTTGCACAGCAGCAGCAGCAGTATATACGCACAAAGCACGTATTCAAGACTGTTTCGTATTCTTTATTTGCCATTTTCTGTCTTTTTCCCCGTTCAATTTTTATACTTTGAAAATTATTCCCGGCATGCGCAGGACAAAACAATATTCTTCTTTTTCTCGTTTTTGCAATGCCAACACGTCACTCCAGAGCATGTGTGCTAGAATCTCTCTCTCGCATCTGCGTTTTATTATTTTACAAAAATGTTTCTGAAAAAAACTCGATTAAAATAGGGGAAAAGTGGGTGAAAGAATGAGTTTAGAACGAGGAAAGCGAGTTCGATTTAAGAATGCTGCATTTTTATTTCAATTTTTCCAATTATTTCGATCGAAGATGACAAATTTTATAAATATTATTTGATATTAAATTAATACAATCCATGTCCATGACCAATGGAACGTGATCCCGAGGAAGATTGGCTCGAGCTGCTGCTACCACTTCCTGCACCTCCGTAAACTAGTTGACCAGCCTATCAAATGATGAATTGAATAAATATTTTTATTTTTCGAGACAATTATAGAAATGAATGTGTGCTGAAGAATTTATAGTACAGTCAACACTTTTGAATAACAATATAAACGAGACTATACTCTATGTATTGATTTTGATTTTATTAAATGCTGATAGCACTGGAATTATTCTTGATTGAGTTTTGACGACAATTTTAACAAAATGTTGATTTTTTGATGACATTTGTAAATTGAAAAGATTCTTTGAACGCAGTGAATGCTTTAGTCCGTAACATTAATGTTATACCATTTTTTAATGAAGTAGAACAATTTTTTAAAAGTAATATTCTATATAAAGTTCGTATGGTAGGTTGTGCAATAATAAAAATTAAAGATCTTACAGCGGAGGAGATGACGGCAATAAGTCCCATTGAAAGGATGACGAAAGAAGTTGCGAGTTGCATCTGAAGCAATATGTGAACAATTGTTCAATTAACGTATTTGACAAAAAACTACAGAAACTAGCACCACCACTTACTTTGTTTAGGATTAGTCGCTAACTTTGAGACTGTTAAACGAATGTGACGACTTGAGTGAAGTTCACTCTATTTATACTAATTTTTCAGTTTACTCATTAATGCAGAGACGCGTTTTTTTGCACCCAAGTTTAAAAAAAATTAATGTTGTTCGAAAATGCGAAGCACGTTCAAATTGCACCAGATTGCCATTACCTTGTGCATAAATTACGCGTTATCGATCAACACAGTTACAAATCGGCACGGAAATTAATTGAAAATATTATTAATGGAACGTACTCATTTTTTCTTTTATTTCTTCGTACAAATATCGTACACGAGAGCGTATAACAAGCTCGTCATATTTACCGAGCGGCGAGAGAGAGTTACGCAATACGATCGCATCGAAGCTAAAGCTCGAGGAACTGAAAGGTAATTTAATAAGCAACAGAGCAAGATCGGAGTAAAAATTATATGAAAACATGAAAATTGTCGTGTTTCGCGATGACTGTCATTAATATGTTGCTATTATAGTTCATCAATTAATTAAATTTGTTAATTTTTTTTGTACACCCTACCGTTGATGTCTCTACGTTCAATTTTTAAAATGAAACATTGTGTTCTCGATTTAATTTATTCCAAACTCTTTTCAATACGTCAATCTCTCCCACTTTTGCCCCCGTGTTTATTGTAACAACTTCTTTTTTATCCTGTGGGTTCCGCAAAGAAAATGTATACGCGCCCCTTGCTTTCTAAGAAAACTAGAGTCGAAGGCTTACAAGAGCTTTTCCGGGTTTTGTATTTTGATTCGTCAAATATTCAGAAAAGCCACGAGGCCACGCGATTTTCTTTGAAAAAAAAAGATCAACAAAATATAATGAAAATCTATCAATTTCCCACGAGGTATACGCTATACCCAGGTTGCGCGCTCGCGCGATATTATATTGGCCTCTGTCGCTATGGTGCGCAGCGCGCGATCATACACACAGCCTCAGGAGAACTTTCTAACTTTGCGGCCAAGGTAGTTTCGAAGCCAAATAATGGCTATATAACTCGTGTGTGCGTGCGTATTTATGCGTGTATGTATAAATCCGGACCGGTCCGACGCAGCGCAGCATTGTTATGCTTTCTTCATTTTCAAATATGCAAGTACTGCACACACGCCTATACGTAGAAGGAAAATAGAAACACTAACGTTCGATTTTCCAGGGAAACGATTGATCATACACGGCTTCAGATGTATTGGCAGCTACGCGTAGTCGTGAAAAAGTTAATTTCTCGTCATAGTTGATTTTTTTGTCATACCAAAGCACGCGAGCATATTGCGCAAAACCGTTTGACGAGGCGTGCAAAGGCATAAATAAATACACTTGCCTCGCAGTGACGAACAAAAAGGCGCAAACACCGACATGAGAGGTAGTTCAAAGTGCAAAGTCCAAATTTGAAATGGTGCTCTCTGGTATATACGCGCGCACGTACGTATGTGTGCGTGTGTACGTGTATGCCAGAGGATGAAAGACAATGCCGTGCACGTAAGCTCACGTTGCTATAATACTGGCACTGGCGCACTGCCTCTGCTTGAATAGCTCAAAGTTTCGCGAAAGAGAGAACAAACATGCAGTACTGCCACAGAACTCGCGCAGTACTCGCAGACACACACACACACATACACGTGCTACACAGAGAGACATACCTGTACATTAAGTAGAGCTGCAGCGTTAACTTTTCGAGTACTTGCAATCGCTGCTGCTCTCGTACATATGCCGTAGTACTATACGTAATTACTCGATTTTCAATTGTGTATCGCGCAGTTGGCATGAGTCGTAGTAGTAGCTCTCTTCGCATCTGTGACAAATCAACTTACCGCGCGCGCTCACAAGCAGCTCACATTACTATTATGAGCTCCCGTCACCCAATATCAGTTATTGCGTGCTTATAATCTAATAAATTATAATACGAAACGTAATGTACGCGTACATATGTACTTGTGAAGGAGGGCAAAGCTCATAAATTGTTGTAGCAAATTGTTATACCGCATCCGACGTCAAAGCAATGGGCAATGCAACATACGTAATGCGCACAATCATCAAGTAATGTATTCATGACGATCATGCGCGAGCGGGTGCGATGCGTTGCGATCACGTGTTACGTATAACGTCCCTTCTGCTGCTGCTGCCGCTGCTCCTTCGACTCTCTCTTTGGCCCCTGCTGCCGCTGCTGTATATGCCGAGCACATCGAATTAACCCTTGTAACAATTGTAAATCGCTTAATCCCGCCTATATATAATACATATTGGCGTACCTGTAGCGTCTCAGCTAGAAAAGCCTCGACCCGTATTGCGCGTATATATATCCAGCAACAGCATTACGAATAATGGAGCACGAAACAAGTCTTGCCGCGGCGCATCCGGAGGGTTACAGTGTGCCCTGGCGCGATATTGAAGCAATTATTCGCCTTCTCTCGCGATTGACGCGTTGAAACGATCACCTGGATGAGGGTAAATAATCATTCAAGCTAGTGTAGATGCGAACATTAATCGTGCACGTCGAGGCAGCGCCGTGTATATGATCCGCATCTCACTCTCTCTCACTCTCTCTCTCTCTCCCTTGGTGTAATGTACTCTTCAAGCCCCTCAGTTTCGTCGCGTACTCGAAGTATATACACTGCACCAAGCATTACTGATACATACCTACGCTACGCGCTCAAACTCGCATGTGTGTGTGTGTGTGTGTGTGTGCAAGTGAGTGCGCTCTGGATGCTGCGCGGCCAACGTTGCGCGCTCGATGCAACGCCCTGAAAATCGATTCGACTTTGGCGCCACGCCGTACTCAGCAACTTCCAGCTTCGAGGATATATTCCATTTATATACGCTTGCTCGTGTGTGTGCATGTGCGCTTTGGCCTGTGGGTAAGAAAACTCTTGCGCTGCTGCAGCAACAGCATTGCAGAAAGAGAGATAGAGAGAGAGAGAGAGAGATGCGTTTTTTTGTGCGCGTACCCCAGGGTTCATGGGGGCGCATGTGCCTTCCTTTTCTTATTTTTTTTGTGTACATCGGAAAATAATCGTTCCCGGTGCAATATATCATTTATTAATACGATACATTTTTGCATTTAGGGAATATTCCCGATGTAGGTACGGGAAAAATGTAACCCGCTGCATGGATCAGTGCCCACGCTGCGTTAAGAACCATTGTAAAAATTAGTATTCGCAATCACAGTACACATTCATTCGAGGCGCTGAATGAAATTTTTGATCTATCGTCAATTTCGTCGCACGGTTCTCTTTTGATCATGCATTCATATTTGCGCTATTGGCTGAATATATATTCGCTGTATGCGCTCGCGAGCGCGTTTCACAAACGAATTTCAGAAAACTTTTTTTCGACTCGACTCCCGCTCGCGTTTAATCTCTCTCCTCGCTCAAAAAATTTCTCGCAGTGTCATACGTATATATGTGTGTGGGTATAGTGTACGATACGCACAGACTATATGCTGCTGTCACCGTATACCACTAGGAGTAAAAAAAAAGCCAGAGGCACCGAAAAAAAATTCATTACAGTATCGATTGTTATTTTCTTTTTTTTTCTCTCTCCCGAGCCATCAAACTGATGCAGAAATCTCGAATTTCATGTACGCATAGATTTTCCTCTCTCTCTCTCTCTCTCTCTCTCTTTTTGCGCTTACGAGAAAGCAGCATCGCTACAGTTTAAAACTTTTTGGCACTTACGGGGCAATGCATTAATGGATTTTCGCTCCGTATACTTTATCAAAGTGATATTTTCGTTGGCCAAATGACAATGTCCTTTGATCGCATGGGAGCGAGCTCGCTACACGCATCGGCTGTTTTCCGGAACAGATTAAATATCGAGATATACTGGGTATTCAATTTAAATAAAATCTACATCACATTCGAAGCGTGCGGTATAGTCATCCTGTTTATGTACATCGTGAACATCTTAACTTTGGGAGTGAGCATTACAAGACTCGAAATCTCGTTTCGTCGTTGGGGACTAGTTGTTTGGGGGCTCGCAAAGCACATAATTTTCAAGATAAAAACAGAAAAAGGCGACGAAGAAGGAGAAAAAATGTGAAACGTGAAAAGAAAAAGAAACTGCAGGGGAGGGTTAGGTCCTCAAGAGGTACTTGCAGTGGCAGCAGCAGCAGCAGCAGCTCAGTAGGCTTTCGTAAGCAGCATCAGCACCACCAACAGCGGCAGTAGCGAAATGAAAGTCTCGCGGCCTTGACGATTTCGCTGCATGTAGCTGTGTATAGTGCACTAGGGTAGGGAAAAAAACGCCAAGATTTACTCCCTCTCCCGTGGTAGAAATAAAAGCGGATGTAAAGCGAGTCGCGCGCGATAAATCTCGCATCCGTGTGTAGCAGTGGCGACACGAGCCGCGGGGGTAATTTTCGCTTTTCCTCCCTCTCTTTTCGCTCCCGGTTGCTACTGTGCTGCTGCAGCTGTCTAGCACGTTTCTGAACTTGACTTTTTCTTATACTATACCCTTGCATGTGTACATGTATACGCACGCTACATTGCTCGCTGCACCTCGAGCTTTTTTTACGGCCGAAAAAATTGCAAAGCATTTCTCCGTTCCTTCTTCTACTTTCTTTTTCTTCTTTTTTATTTCGGCGTTTGAAAATTCCATGTATATGCTTTCCGAAAAATGTAACTATCACGCGAGAATCATATTATGCAAGCGTGTAAATAATTTACAATGCCGATACACATTTTTAGAGGTTTGAATAGATAAAAAAAATTTAGCGCTAAAAATAAATATAACATTTGTCTTGCTGTACACCGTTTTGTTGTTACTCATGCCCGAGCGTCCCACTTCTCTCACGCGTTTATTTCTCTCTTTATTTCTAGTCTGTATTTTGCCCTTCCTGCAAATGTAAGCCGCCGCCGAGCGTGCACATACACGCGCGCTTAGAGCAAAACACGCCGTTGGTGCTGTTTTTCTTGCTATCGGCCTTGCGATATAAAACCGCGGCAGGAATCCAAGCAGGATACATAAAAGCAAGAATATGGGAGCCAAGAAATTGGAAAACTAAATGTGTATATATGCAGATGCGC